AAGATGACTTGGTAAATGAATGCATAAATAAATAAATAAAAATAAACACATACAGTTAAATTTATATATAGAGAGAGAGAGATAGGGAGGGAGGGAGAATCCGAAGTTGGAAGGGTACTTAGCCAAACAAAGCGAGAAATCGCTTGGTGCTGCCAGCCTAGACTACCAGATTTAATGGATGTACAAGAAGAAAAGTTGGGATTCGAGGAACCTCTTGCCTTACTATTGCTATGCCTACTTAAATTTCGAATGTTCGAGCTGATCAGAAGACCACCACGGTTCCACTCTTACTGGAACCCTACATTTGACTCAATCCCCCAGACACCCTCAGTCGTCGAAAATACATCAGGCCGCCATCGTTTTTTGGTGATCTCTACCGTTGAATCGCTTTCACTCGAAACAAAAGTGAGCTCATAATATTTACCCGAGATAAGGAAGACCTTAATTTTGAATAATATTATACGAAATATATATACATAAATATATTACTTCTATTTTTAATAGTAATATAGCACAAATTAAGTAGATTTAAAATACGTGTACACTTTTTCTTAATTAGCCACTCACCCGTCAGCCAGAGCACTCCGCCCAAGTGGTTACGGACGAGCACGTTGTTGGTGATGTTGCCTCGAGTGCCTTTGGTGACTTGGTCGGCCGTCAGATGGGCCTGTATCGCGTGACCCGCCTGCCAACGCACCAGACAATTAGCTACCGCCAATCGTGGCGTGTTAGCCAGACGCAAGAAGATGCCGGGTGGACCGGTGAGGTTAAGAAGAGCCAATCCGTTGTTCAACAGTCGAGTGTTGGCCAGCACAAAGTCTGGGCCCATTTCGCCAACGCTCAGGACACGGACACCACCGCCTTGATTGTTCTCGAAGAGGCAGTCGTCAATGCGATGCTGCATCTGAAAGTCTGCAGAGAAGCAGGAGGAGGGTTACGAAGAGGGGCAAGGCAGAAGATTGGGTTGAAATGGTGGATGCACAGGATTCGTAACTTGGCTTTGATGTTGTCAGGCTTGATTTAAGCATAGAAGTTGGCTAGGCAGTATCATGTTAAACTGTCGCTTCGCTTCAGAACGAAACACGATTTAGTCAATCGGGCAAGCGGGTAAAATGGAGATCAAAACTGTATTCCAATGCAGTCGGGATGAGGAGACAATTGGGGAATCGTGAAGCCTAATCGTCTGGTTGGATGGGAAAACGCGAATGTTCGCCATTCATCCCCATTCGCGAGCATTAGTAGTGGTAGGGTATTAGCCCCTAATTCCTCATGTAAATGAAGGAAAACTGTGCCTCAAAATTCCTCTCGTGATCGAGCATTACTCGACCTTCAACCTCGAAGATGAAGTTAGTTGGAGGTAATTCGTGAATGGGATTTCAAGACAAACCAAACGAGTATTGACTGTTTTGGAGTGAAGACTATTGGATTGTGCGAAGAAGCCATCGGATAACCGACCAGTGATACCATCAAACATCGACGCAGAGAGAGACCATCATTTTGGGGCAAAGCAACGAGTTATGTTAACTTCTTCTTTACAGATTGCCTGATGATTGGAGAAAAAAGACAGCCGTTCAAGCGCTACCGCATCCACTTCATGCACCTTCCACAGCCGCTTCACTCAAAATGTAAGAAGGAAATAACCGGTCAAATCATGAGACGCCTCATAAAGTTGCCAAAGTTTGGCAATTCGGATAGCTTTCATGCCTCAGTGCAAGCTTCCGTGATAGTTTACAACATGAAGCCGAACAGAGGCGAAGAGTACATGCTAAAATGCCTACCAAACAGCGTTACCTGTGCTATTTGGTCCGTCTCGGATGGCTGGTAAGACAACAAAAAGACTGTCAGAACTCACTTTGCTCGGGATAGGCGCGCCCAGGCGACAGAGGCAAACTGATGACTTCTGCAATGAAGCCGTAGCTGTCGGTGGCCGGACTGGCTCGCA